TATATATATAGGGCGTCTTGCAGGTTCACCAATCATTAATTCATTTGTTGTTTGATGGGAATTAAACGGGGATGATCGCAAGGGGCCACTGTAGGCTCTGTCACTAACTTGCTTTCATTCCCTTTAGAGATTCTTTTTCCTGTCACGATATGACTTATATGACTTTATTGTGTTGCAAGTGCGGTAAAACTCTTACTAAAACTGAACGAAATGTCTACCATCTTGTTGATGTGCTTCTTTGGAGAGGCTAACTGCTTGGTACTATCCCCTCACATTACAGAAAGTAAAAGCACAGGCTCATGTGGGTGGTTGGCGGGTGCTCTGGTGTGGTTTGCTTTTTCTTTCCTATCAAACATCTATCGTCTTTTTCTCCCCTTCTTCTTTTTTATGTTTGTTACTCGCTTGTAATACCTCTAATCTTCTGGCGCTCATATGACCTTATGCAGTTGCGAGTGCCGTAAAACCTTTACTAAAACTAAAAAAGCACTGGCACAAGGACATTGGTCACTGTAAGTTTAACAACGTCATTTCTTTCAACACAGTAAGGTTATAATATTATAAGACGTGGAACCCCGAATTTAACGTCCCTGTCCGATAAAACCGAACCAAACGGGTTGAGAGCTTTGAAAGAACGCTCTGTTTGGGATTCAAACTAGGGCCACCCGCCCCGTAGTCTAGCGTGATACCAACTAAGCTAACGGCGAGCGAGATATTCAGTGAAGGAAAAGAAGGGAGACGTTTTAGGAAGGACGGAATAAGTAAAACTCAACTAGGATTTGAACCTTGAGCTACTGCAGGTAGTCGAAATTTGGACATTTGGTCATGGTCCTTGTTTTTTTCTTCTTCTGTCTTTCGGTCTCTTTTTCATCTTCATACCTTCCGATTTCTCGCTGTCTCTTTTTCCCATCTCTTTCTGTTTCTACCACTGTTACTTCCACTTCTACTGTGATGTCATTCATAACTACGTGGTTGGTGGTATTTCTCTGCTTTCCTATTTTATTTCTGTTACGTTAATAGCGTTGGAAAGTCTTACCTTTTCCCAGATGATAAGTGATCATCAGTGGATCAGTGTGCTTTTCTTAACTCATCCTTGCTTTATTTAACTCCTTCGTGGGTGGTTGGCGGGTGCTCTGAAGTGGTTTGCTCCTTCTTTCCTATCAAACATCTATCGCCCTTGTCTCCCCTTCTTCTTTTTTATTTTTGTTACTCTCTTGTGATGCCTCTAATCTTCAGCACTTATACGACCTTATTGTGTTGCAAGTGCTGTAAAACACTCACTAAAACATAGTTTATTTCTGTTACGTTAATAGCGTTAGAAAGTCTTTCCTTTTCCCGGCGATAACTGATCATCAATAGATCAGTGGATCAGTGTGGTTTTCTTAACTCATCCTTGCTTTATTTAACTCTTTCTCAGCCCAGCGGAGACGTTGACTACTCACTGATGGCTGCTGACTGCTTCCATTTCAGCCGGAAAGGCCACGCCTTGGCTGGCATAGGGCTCTGGAACAATCTTGTACGTGTGAAATAATTTTTTTTAAAGAAAAAGAGAGACACCCCCCCCCACTTCCCTTGACAGTGTATTTGCGTACTTGAATGAATGAACATTATACACATAAAATGTAAAAAAAAAACTCCTCTCACACACGTACATACACACACACACATACACACACACGCTCCCATAGACTCTCATTCTCATACACTCCCATACACAAGCTCTCATCTTTATTTGCACTCATCGCTACACCAATGCAGATACACATACACACATTACCAAAATACACACACATACCTCATTACAAACACACACATAATAAACACACACATAAACACAAACACACACACCCATTGCAAACACACACAATCATTACAAACAAACAAACATACACACGCACACACGCAGACAATATGAAAATTTTGTGACATTTTTCTTTATCCACTTTGAAATGAATTTTTGCTCTTGTTGCCTCTGTCCTGCTTTAAAAATAATATCTGTCTTTCTGCCTGCCTATCTGCCTGCCTGCCTGCATGCCTGCCTGCCTG